CTCCTAATATTTCAAACTTAAATATATTCTGAATAAAAAATGGCTTTCCAGTTCTGTTTGATAAGTTCTCTCAAGTCAGATTTTAAATCGTACACCCAAAAAAAACCTTGATTTTTTTTAGCATAAGTCTATCCTACTTTACATAAATAACACACATTATGAGAACAGAATTTGCAGCACAAAAAGATGGTTATTCATGTTCCCAAAGCGATCACCACTTGAGTTTCTTTCAATGGGTGGCTCTACTGTTTTGTTCACAATGTGGTTTTGAATCACCTCAACTTTTCAGAAGCACGTGGACTACATACATCAAAATCCACTTGTGTTTTTATTAAAAGTACCCCAAAGCATTTCAACTGTCACCCTATACACCCCCACAGCTATCTTGTTAAAGGCAAAATGAATACATAAATACATACATAAACAACATAATCCTCCTTCATCTGTCAACATTGCCAACCATTCAACATACATTCTGCCTCATAAGCCTTTTTAAGCACCCTGGGCTCAGCCCGTGGGATTCCTGAAGCGTGGTAGCCCTAACACTGTTTTCCAAGGTAGAGATTTCTAAAAGGTGAGATGGAGAAATACACAATTGCTTCAAACAGTGTGATCCAGAAACAAATACAGTCCCAACATGCACCAGATACGAAATCTCTGTGCCAGAAACCAAGGTCACTGGCACCATGGAATCAAGAACCATTTTCTGTGTGTAAAGTACTAGGTGCCTAGATCTGCCAGTAAGCATCTACCAGTTTCCTAGCATAAGAGTCAGCAAAAGCCAGGAATGAAGCACCAGGAAAGACAGGGAGTTACACAGTGAGCCTCAACGAAGATCTCAGAGCTGCTGGGCAAGGGCCGCCAATTCTTTCTTATGACTTGAAGGTAATAACAGAGAAGAGGTGATGGTTACTGAGCACTTACAACGGCAAAGCTGCTTGAAGCACCTTCACACCCATTCACTCATGGTACCTGTTAAACTTTGGGACAGTGATTATGAAACTTTTTGGATGCCTTTACACTCCTTTTTTTTTTCTTTTCTTTTTTTTTTTTTTTTTTTTTTTTTATTGAGATGGAGTTTTGCTCTTGTTGCCCAGGCTGGAGTGTGACGGTGCAATCTTGGCTTACTGCAACCTCCACCTCCCAGGTTCAGGCGATTCTCCTGCCTCAGCCTCCCAAGTAGCTGGGATTACAGGCATGAGCCACCACACCCAGCTACTTTTGTATTTTTAGTAGAGACAGGGTTTCTCCATGTTGGTCAGGCTGGTCTCAAACTCCCAACCTCAGGTGATCCGCCTGCCAATCCCAAAGACCTTTTTGTTTATGTAGGTTATATCCACTGATATTTATTGTATTTGAAATTAAAATGAAAAAAATAGATATTAATATATTTTTAAATAATACAGCTTGGGCAACATAGGTAGGCTCCATTCTCTGTAAAAAGTAAAAAATTCCACTGGACCCAATTGTTCATGCCTATAATCTCAGCACTTTGGGAGGACAAGATGGGAAGATTGCATGAGTTCAGGAGTTCAAGACCAGCCCGGGCAACAAAGTAAGATCTAATTTATATAAAAATCAAAAAACTACCTGGGTGTGATGGCACACACCTGTGGTCCCAGTTACATGGAAGGCTGAGGTAGGAGGATGCCTTGAGCCCAGTGGGTTGAGGCTGCAGTGAGCCATGTTCATGCCATTACATCCTACTCTGTGTGACAGAACAAGCCTTGTCTCAAAAATAAAAAATTAGCTGGGCATGGTGGCATGTGCCTATAGTCCCAGCTACTCGGGAAGCTGAGGTAGGAGGGTTGCTGGAGCCCAGGAAGTTGAGGCTGCTGTGAGCCGTGATCACACCACTGCACTCAGCTTGGGTGACACAAAGACCCTGTCTCAAAAATAAATAAATAAAAATAAATAAAAACAAGAGTAAACCTATTACACATTAAACATAAATAACATTTTTATGACCAATAACAATATTTTCCAAAACAAAAAAAAATAGTGAAAAGCATGGCATTGTTTTACAACTTTGCAAATCTCCTTAATATCTGGGCTTATCAAAGACAGTTGGACTTTCCTATCTGCATCTGTGTTCAATCTGTTGTACTATCTCAGCTTATGTAGACGCAAGAAAACTTCACTGTAGTCTTCTGAGAATGAGAATGAAATGGGAAAATGAATATCTTAGTATTGTTATGAAAATAGTTTTGACCTTGCAGACCTCCAGTAAAAGTCTTAGGGACTCCTGGGGGTACCCAGGCCATACTTTCAGAACCTCTGCCTTATGAGTTAGGAGACATTATCTCCATTTTTCAAATGGGCAAACTGAGACAGAGAGGCCAAGGAATTGTCCAAAGCCATACTGCTAGAACAGTTCAGAGCAGATAAAATGCAATGAGCATAACAGACTTAACCTCGTTTGTTTGTTGCAAGGATTGAATGAGATCATGAATATAAAGACCAGGATATCCTGCTTGGCTTATCACAAATGCCCAATAATATTAATGTTTCCCCACCAGGTGTGGTGGCTCACGCCTGTAATGCCAGCACTTTGGGAGGCCGACGCAGGTGGATCACGAGGTCAGGAGTTTGAGACCAGCCTGGTCAACATGGCAAAACCCCGTCTCTACTAAAAATACAAAAATTAGCCGGGCATGGTGGCAGGTGCCTGTAATACCAGCTACTTAGGAGGCAGAGGCAGGAGAAATGCTTGAATTTGGGAGATGGAGGTTGCAGGGAGCCAAGATCATGCCACTGCACTCCAGCCTGGGTGACAGACCAAGACTCCATCTCGAAGAAAATAGTAATAATAATAATGCTTCCCATTTGGCAAAATCTGGTAGAAAAGCTGAAGAAACTTCCCACATTTCTGATCAACTCATCATACATATGACACCAGCAAGAAAAAATAAAACTCCACCATAGGTATTTTCCAGAGGAGGAGCTTTTCCTCATAGACAAGACCTTGGCCCATTCCTCAGCACAAAAGCAGTCTTTGATGACTCAGAAAGGCAGGGCCTTATTCCAGCCTCCGTTAGGCAAATGACCCTGGTGGACTGGGCATCTGTCACCTTGTTCCTTGGGAAACTTGAGCAAGCCAAGAAAGCTACTCCATTATTTACAGCATTGTTTTTGCATCACGCTGTATTTACAAGGAACCCTCAACAGACAAAAATGATGCCACCAGTGTGTGCAGCCAAACCTTTAGCAGGAACCAGCATCTGTGGTCTTGCTGGCCAGGTGCTCAGCTCTCCTTGTTAATCAACTTTCTTAGCCCACATGGCCCACTCCCTCCTGCCTCCGGTGGGCCCACAGGGTGCAGGTCACTTCCCTTCTGTGGATTTGGGAAGTGATCACACACTTGGGGAAGTGGGACTAGAGATTTTCAGACCACCACACTCTCAAAAGGCTGTCCCTAAACAGCAGGCAAGAGCAAGAGGAGCCTGAGCTATCGCTTCCACCCAAGTGCAGTTCACCAGATCTCTCACAAGCAGGGCTGCAGCCGCCTCAGCTTCCAACCTGACCCCCTATCCCCTGCCCTTACACACCTCAGTCCATTCTCCAACCACAGCCAAAGGGATCTCTTAAAAGTGCACACAAGGCCGGGTGCAGTGGCTCACGCTTGTAATCCCAGCACTTTGAGAGGCCGAGGCAGGCGGATCACCTAAGGTCAGGAGTTCGAGACCAGCCTGGCCAACATGGTGAAACCCCTGTCTCTACTAAAAATACAAAAATTAGCCGGGTGTGGTGGCGCGCACCTGTAATCCCAGTTACTCGGGAGGCTGAGGCAGGAGAATCGCTTGAACCCAGGAGGCAGAGGTTGCAGTTAGCCGAAATCACACCACTGCACTTCAGCCTGGGTGATAGAGCGAGACTCCGTCTCAAAAAAAAAAAAAAAAAAAAAAAAAAAAAAAAAAAAAAAGTGCACAACGGGTAAGGTCAGTTTTCTTGCTAACACGTTCCCAAGGTTTCCGCTACTCAGGTGGAACCAAAACCAAACTCCTTATTTTGGCCTATAAGAACCCGCTTCACCTGGCACATGCCCACCTCTCCTGCCACAAACAAGGCCTTCTCTCCCCCACCCCCCGCTTTGCTCTCTGTAATCCACCTGTAGCGCCCCTCCAGGACCTCCAGCAGCTAGAATGTCATGTCCTTGAAGAGGCTTTGCCAAATCAAAAGTTGCCACTCCACCCGGTTGTATTTGAGACTTCAGAGCGCTTCTTACTATAGAAGCTCTCTTCATTTTACTTGTATATTACATGCTTCCCTCCCTCCGCATACCCCTCCTAGAAGGTAAGCTTCCTGGAGAGCAGGGGCTCCGCCTAGTCCCCCGCGACATCCCCGCGCCCAGCTCCGACCCCGGCACAGACTAAGTACTCGGCCAACGCGGATCGAATGAATGAATGGAGCCGCCGCCCCGCGTTGCCTCAGGAATCCCGGGCAAGCGATCCTGGCGCGCCCGCACCGTCCCGGGCGGCGGGTCCACCGGGGCGCACGCTTCGGGGGACCGGCAGGACTCGGCCCGCACCCCCACCCGGCCGCGCGTCCGGCCCGGACGCTCCAGGTGCCTCCCCGGAGCGCGAGCGCCCCCACAGCCTACCCGGGCCGGCTGTTCCCCCGCACTCACCATGGTGGCTGGACGGCCGCCGCCGCCGCCTTGCGAGCAAGGAGCGCTGGAGTAGCGAGGGCGAGAGGCGAGCGCAAGAGCCGGTGCGGCTGACAGGTGAGGCGCCCGGCTTAGACCATGGCTGCTTCCCACAATGCCCTCGCGCTGAAAGTTTTCAGACTCCTCCCAGCGCGGCTGCCTCCTCCCCGCGCGCTCCTCCCCGCTGCCTCCTCCCTGCGCACTCCTCCCGGCTCCCCCCGACTTCTCATCTTGTTTCTTCCCTTCTCCTTCCTCCTCCCTTCTCCTCCTCCTCCTCCCTCCTTTCTGCCTCTCCTCTGTACCCCCTCCCCGCCCCCGCCTCGGCCGCAGTTGCTCCCGCCCAGCGCGGCCGCACCTGGGGAGAATGCACCTGCGCGCGCGCTCCTCTACCCCGACAGCCCGCAGCTCGGAGCAGGTGGGCAGGCGAGAGCTCATGGCCCGCTAGGAACTCTCTGCGCGGAGAACTCTGGGGGACCTTTCGCGATTCTGCCGCACGATTGTGTCCTGTATTCCTTCCACAAACGTTCATCAGACCTGACAAAGATACTTCCGATATACTCGCAGAAAAGTGCCGGAGGCTGTCTTATCCCGAGCCTCCTAGGGAGGGCGCAGTGGGCAGAGAAGGAACTAGAAGCGATTTCTTATCCCCTTCTGCCCCCATTTCACTTTTTAAAAAGTAAACTCTGCAGTCTAAGGGCAAAGATCATTTTAAGCAGAATTTTATTTATTTATTTGTTTATTTAGAGACGGAGTCTCGCTCTGTCGCCCACTCTAGAGTGCAATGGGGCGATCTCGGCTCCCTGCAACCTCCGCCTCCTGCATTCAGGGTGATCCACCCGCCTCGGCCTCCCAACCTGCTGGGATGACAGGCGTGAGCCACTGCTCCCGGCAGCACGCCCTCCTTTTAAGAAGTCTCTCCTAAGAAGTTGTGGTGTAGACAGTAGGTTCTCCAATTTCTCTCCTCCCCTTGACTTTTCTTAAGTCTAGAGATTTTACCTGGGGCGTTGAGAGTCTCTAAACCCCCAACCTGTAAGCAGAGTTTTTTCTTTTTTCTTTTAATTATATTTACCAGATAGACAGACTAGATGTAAACAAAGTTTTGAATGCATATTTCTGTTTTTTTGAGAAAGGGAGTCCACTGGTTTTATCAAATAGCTAAAGAGATCCTACACCCTGCAAAAGTTAAGAATCATTTCCTGGGCCAGGCCTGGTAGCTCACGTCTGTAATCCCAACACTTTGGGAGGCCGAGGTGGGCGGATCGCTTGAGACCAGAAGTTCGAGACAGCCTAGCCAACATGGTGAAATCGCATCACTACTAAAAATACAAAAATTAGCTAGGCGTGGTGGCACACGTCTGTAGTCCCAGCTACTAGGAAGGCTGAGGCAGGAGAGAATCGCTTGAACAGGGAGGCAGAGGTTGCAGTGAGCTGAGATCATCCAGCCTAGGTAACAAAGTGAGACTCAGTCTGGGAAACAAAACAAAACAAAACACCATTTCCTGGGTGATCCCTGGAACCCCAAATCAGTGAAAGTCCTTCCCAGGATCTGTTGTGTACCTTCCTATGGATGTAGGCCCACCCAGGTGACTGAAAGTAAGGGAAACTCCATCCACGCCTGCATTCACACTGCAAATATTCACCACTCTAGGCCAGGCCCTGCAACAAGAGCCTGGGGGACCCAGCTGGGAACAAACAGGTGGTCTGTCTCCTGGAGCTTACAGTCTCTTGTGGGACAACACATAATAAACAAGTAAATAAAATATAAAATATAAGAAATTCAAATGAGTGCTAAGAAGGAGATATTTGAGTTCCTGGGATGGGCACAGGGAAGCTACATTGATTTAGCTGAGTGGTCAGGTAAGTGCCCTCTGGGGAGGTGACAGGAGACTTGATGTGAGAAGCCAGTGCTCTGAAGAAGAAGAAGAAAAAAAAGTCCTTCTGGAAAGACTTCAAAAAAAGGCCTCTCTGTGAGTTAAGTGCCAGGAGGCCCAGAGGTGGGCAGGGGCCAGAGGCAATGAGTGTTCTCTACATTAGGGCATCACTGCAAGCCCCCAGGAGAGCCAGAGCCTCCAGCCTCAAAGCTCTGAAACCTGGACTTGTGACATTCTGCCGGGGGCATTGGAAGAGGACTGTCTGACAAGAGTTAAACCCCAGGCAGTGGGGTGATTTCGCTTCCTGAAAGAAAAGTGAATCTAGGAGAGCTACTTTTTAACTCCTGTGTTCTCCCCGCAGGGCCTGTTCCTTCCCTATCTCAGGACATCATGCTTTATCTAACTAGATAGAATCTAATGTTTGTGCTTCTCCTCCTTTCTAGGTAACTTCAGGACAGGGCCCAGCTCTGTGCCACCATCCAGAGCCTTCTGCTATAAGGGTTTCCTTGCTAGTGGGAAAGAAACGGAATTACTAAAGGTGAATTTCAAAGCTAAAGAAATCTCAGGCCGGGCGCCATGGCTCATGCCTGTAATCTCAGGACTTTGGGAGACAGAGGTGGGTGGATCACCTGACATCAGGAGTTCAAGACTAGCCTGGCCAACATGGTGAAACCCCTAATACAAAAATTAGCCAGGTGTGGTGGCGGGTGCCTGTAATCCCAGCTATTCAGGAGACTGAGGCAGGAGAATCGCTTGAACCCTGAAGGTGGAGTTTGCAGTGAGCCGAGATCCCCACTGCACTCCAGCCTGGGCAACACTACGAGATTAACAAAAAAAAAAAAAAAAAAAAAAAAAAGGCTGAAGAAATCATCTCAGTGCTCTTGCCATGACAGTTAATTCAAATATTAAAACAGGAGAGGCCAGGAGTGATGGCTCATACCTGTAATCCCAGCACTTTGGGAGGCCGAGGTGGGTAGATCACCTGAGGTCAGGAGTTTGAGACCAGCCTGACTAACAAGGTGAAACCCCGTCTCTACTAAATACAAAAAATTAGCCAGGTGTGGTGGCACGTGCCTGTAATCCCAGCTACTTGGGAGGCTGAGACAAGAGAATGGCTTGAACCTGGGAGATGGAGGTTGCAGTGAGCCTAGATTGTGCCACTGCACTCCAGCCTGGGCAACAAGAGCTAAACTCTATCTCAAAAAGTAAAAATTAAAAAAATAAAGCAGGAGAAGGTTCCCTTACCGTGTGGCTCATGGTTGGAGAGGATGTAATTAAAGATGTGGAGGTTAAGGGGGGCAGGTAACTTAAAAAGTATTAGTGTCCTTTGCCTTTCCTCCTGGCCTGGCTGAGATGGGCAGTGGATGCTCTCTGGGGCCTCTGCCACCCAGTGTGTTTCCCTCCAGATTCTCACACCATACCCCAAATCACCGAAGAGGGAGGCCTGTAGTGAGCCGGACACTTCACAGGGTTATCTTAGCTGCCCCTAAAATAATGCGTAAGAAAGGGAGCACTGTGGACATGGTACAGGTGAGAGCCTGAGGCTCAGAGGCTCAACAGAATAATAAGAGGTAGGCTGGGCACTGTGGCTCAGGCTTGTAATCCCAGTGCTTTGGGAGGCCGAGGCAGGAGGATTGCTTAAGGTCAGGAGTTTGAGATCAGTCTGGGCAATATGGGAAGACCCCGTTTCTATTTTAAAGATAATAATAATAATAAAAATAAGTATAAAAAGAAACTAATAAGAGGCAGGGATAAGCCTAGAATCAAGGCACTAAGATTCAAGTTGGTTTCCCCTAAAGCCCTACCCCGACAGACCTACTCAGAACACAACAGTGAGAGTTAAGCAGTGTTTATTTCGTCACTCATTTATCTCAGAAGAATAACATGCATTTTCAAGCTTTGACTTCTCCTTTAAAAAAAAAAAGAAATCTGTAGAGACAGGATCTTACTATGTTGCCCAGGTTGATCTCGAGAATCCCTGGCCTCAATGGATCCTCCTGTCTTGGCCTCCCAAAGTGCTGGGATTACAAGCATGGGCCACCACACCCAGCCTTAGTCTCGACTGCTGTATCCCATCTTTGCTCCTGTTCAAACTCCTGACTCCACATCAGGCCCACCAATAGCAAAACCCCAGGGAGGACCCAGAGGCCCTATCACTCAAGATGTACCACTCTAAAGAGGAGTTCCCTGGTCAGATCCTGAAGAGGCTTTTAGATTCAAAATCTAATGTCACAGAAGACCAGTACAGTGTATTACGTGGTTCCGGTTAGGTTGTTTATGAGCTGGTGCCTGTGACTCTGTGTGTGTATATTTACTCATAAAACAATGCCCTGGCATTTGGTCAACTTGATTTAGGAGTTTCACTTCTCAGATCATTCTATATTTAAATATTAGCAGAAGATGCAGAGAGAGTGCAGTAAAAGCCACCATCAAGTCCACAGCAAGGGAGAAGAGCAAGTTAGGGATATGATAACAAAGTAAAATAATGATAATCTGTAAACCAAAATACTAACTTCGGAGAAACTGAGAAAGATCAAGCTGTGAGTTTAAGAAACTGAAAGAAGCAAAGGAGAGGCCAACTTCAAAGTCAGCTTACGCAGTGCCTTCACAGGCATTAATTGAAGCCTGATCCTGCTGTTCTTTACTGCCCTCTTATTAATGTCTGAAGTAATCAACATCGCCAGTAATCCCTTCTGCAGCGTTGAGGAATTCATCTTGTCAGGGTGAAACTTTTAGTATGAGGCCTTTTGCTCTTTACAAACACCCTTTACTTTTCAAAAGAGGGCCTATTATTCCAAATGGAAAAACTCTACTTAATATGTTTCTAAAGAGTATTTTCAGAAAATTTTTAATTATAAAATAATATAGGTTCATTGCAGATTTGGAAAATATCGGAAGGTGTTATTTCAAAACCTCACTCTAGGCTGGGTGCAATGGCTCACCTCTCTAATCCCAGCACTTTGGGAGGCTGAGGCTGGCGGATCACCTGAGGTTCGGAGTTCGAGATTAGCCTGGTCAACATAGTGAAACTCCGTCTCTACTAAAAATACAAAAATTAGCTGGGCATGATGGCAGATGCCTGTAATCACAGACACTTGGGAGGCTGAGGCAAGAGAATCTCTTGAACCCAGGAAGTGGGTTTGCAGTGAGCCGAGACCACGTCATTGCACTCCAGCCTGGGCAACAGGAACAAAGCTCCATCTCAAAAAATAAAAAATAAACATAAAATAAAAACCTCCCTCTAATTCTACCAACAAGAGGCCAGGTGAGCTGGCTCCCGCCTGTAATCCCAGGACTTTGGGAGGCTGAGGCGGGTGGATTGCCTGAGGTCAGGAGTTCGAGACCAGCCTGGTCAATATGGTCAAACCCTGTCTCTACTAAAAATACAAAAATTAGCTGGGCGTGGTGGCACATGCACGTAATCCTAGCTACTCAGGAGGCTGAAGCAAGAGAATTGCTTGAATCCAGGAGGCGGAGGTTGCAGTGAGCCGAGACTGCATCACTGCACTCCAGCCTGGGTGACACAGCAAGACTCTGTCTCAAAACTAATAATAATAATTCTACCAACAAGAAATAACCATTGTTATATTTGGCCTATTTCCTTGCATGTTTGTATTCTACAGAGATAGAAAAGGATAGAAAGATTTTTTTATTTTATTTTATTTTTTGGACAGGGTCTCACTTTGTTGCCCAGGCTGGAGTGCAATAGCATGATCTCACCTCACTGCAGCCTCGACTTCCCTGGTTCAAGTGATCCTCCTGCCTCAGCCCC